GGAAGAGAGGGGCGGGGTCAGCAGAGCTCATTAACATTTAAAGGAAAATGCTACAAAAACGGCTTGATCTCAAAAGAGCTGTTTTTGACAGGGTAAAAAAGGTGTTTTACACTACCATTGAGAAATTTTAATCAAACTATGTTACAGACTTTTCATTAAGACCCTAAAGAATCATATCAACTTGTGGAAAATGGGCATCCTATGACCCCTTTAAAATCACATTTGAAATCGCAAATCACAATTTTAACCAGAAAAATCGCGACTTTTTCCCCCAAATCGTACAGCCCTACTAAAATGTGTTTTTTGTTAACCGTAAGTTTATATTGAGTGTGTTGACCCATTGTCACTATTAGTTTTTGTTTTTTTCCATGCAAGCTATTTTCCAGAGGTTAAACTCATAAGATGGAAATTCCCACCATACTCTTCATTGTTATATTCCTTCTCAGGGTAAAATTGTCAGGTGCAAATCAAGAACTTTTAAACTAAATTATAAAAAAAATACAATATGTTCCTTCGATAACTATGGCTCCTTTCATTGGTGCTTAATTGGGTTTTGTAGCAATAATAATTGGTTTCTTTTAAGACACTCCATGGAGACGATACATGAACAAGACAATTAACAAAAGGCTGCAAACAGATTATGTGCCAAAATAATTCATTAATGTTACTGTTCAGCATTTTTCAGCATTAATTTTTATTTTAATTAATTTGTGCTATTCTGAGATGTGTATTGTTAGTAAACTATAATCGACTATTCCATTGTTATCAACATTCAGTTGTTTCCCATAGTTCCAAGGAACACTGCCAAATAGGACTGAAAACTGTGTGATTGCAACTACAGCTCTCAAATGTCAGTTAGAAGCTAGGGATATGCCGGTATCAAATTTTCATGTTGCGATTAAGTTCAAGCAGGTAAGTTTCAATTACATTTTTAATATTTAGAGCTTCTGTTATGAATACTATTCCATATTTTAATTTGAATTTCGGATTTAAATAAACATCGCCGTTAGCGTATACGTAGTTAATCGTTAGCATAAGCGCGGCTAACGCTAATATAATGAGTATTAGAATGAATTTTGTTCAAAATTATTTCTGTGAACTATTTAATGCTCCTATAACTTTTATTACTGTAAAAAATAGGAGGACATAATGGTATTTACTATTTTTACACACCAGAGGCTTTTAAATGAACTGTGTAACCAAAATATGCGTGTTAGAGAATGTACAAATGTATGGTTAACAGTGTTTATGTCATATAGTGTTTATGTCATATC